TCGTGGTTTGTAGGTTTGATTACACAAACCTTTGGAGTGCTGTCATCGTACCTCCAGTGGATGCTCCGATCCCCGGACTATGACAGCATATCTCCTCCACCTTTCCCCCGCCAGGCCTCGTCTACGTCCACATTGCCTAATTATAATCAGGAGGTTCTGAGTCGTTGCGTAATTGTCGCTTTTATCAAAGGAATCTAATCATCTCATTGCTATGCTCCCAAGCTCCTTTCGTATTTATCGAATTTTACACCAGTGTCTCGCATTTCGAACAGCTAATGCCACAATTTTGTGCACTAAAACAAGGCAATAAGGGAGGGAAGTAGGGCTCACTCCAGTATTAAATTTAATTTTAAGCATCTTAATTCCCTCGACGGATTTACATCGCGTCAAATAAGGAGTTTAAATGCTACACGTATGGGAAGCGAAGAAGAATGCTAAAATCCCATCACAAAGAGAAAAATATTGACATCTTGAAGTTGCCAGTCACGATCACATAAGTACTGACACACACTTTGACTAAACCTAAATAATAGTTTCGAATGGGACGAAAATGACATGCAACTACGAAGGAACTTGCAGCCATGCATTTAGTGAATGCAGACACCGGCACAAATATGGACAATCATCCACCTTCAGAGACGTAAGAGCCCTCAAATCTCGTGCCAAGCCAACGGGACTGTCGCGTGATTGCCAACAGAATTGTTCTAAAAGTACAGTGCATTTTTGGTTGAATACATTAATGCGGTGATTGTTATTTATGTGCCACTTTTTCCTATTTTAAATAGTAGTGCCTATATTTTTTCGCAATTGATACAAACCCACATGGAAAATTCCACTTTTATGTGCTGAGTGGTTTGGGAAGAGGGCCGTTGTAATAAAATTGTTTGATTTGGACATTCACCTGTGCCTTAACAGTCTTGGACCATCACAGCGTTACCATCGACCTTCGCCTTCTTCTATACACTTTCCAAAAGCGCCAAAAGGCAGTCACTAAACTCCAAATTGTGCCCCTGGCATGTTATTGATGCCAACAAAACAATCACCTTACGACAATAAACTCCTGCTGTTGCAACAAAAAATCTTTTAATCAAGGTGGTCACTGCAGTGGCTCTTATCCAGAGTGAGTGGTATCTGAATAATGAAGTTCTTAACATACTCATGATTTGAATATTCGAGGCATTACAATTTTCTCACCTATAGGCAAAATAGTGTTGCCTCTGATTTGGGCACGGAGCGTAAAGGCAATTTCATAGGACTGGCAATTGTTTGCGGTCGAATGTAGATCGGCTGCAAGTCCCGGCAACAATGTTGTAATCAACTTTGTCCATTTCATAAAAAGCGCCCCTAGGAGTAATAACGTTTAGCTAGTCCATCACACAAAGACTACATTACTGACAACGCACAGAGTTTCCAAATTTCGGCCAGCTTCACCTACGTAATTTCGCCCAACGCCTGAATTGTTGCACCACTTTTGAGGAAGCGAACCTTTAGCATTTCATGAAAGCCATCCAAGTGGGTAAGGCAGTTCAGTTTTCGGTACTGCTCTGCCGGTGACAAAGCACAGAACATTAAAGTACCGAACATGGAGAGCCCACGCCTATTGCTTCCTCGCTAGAGCATACGCAACACACTCATCTCTTTACCCGAGCCTAGCACATTAAAGGCGTAGTGACATGTTCCACGTCACCCGTTTAAAAATGGATAAGGCACGTTGAATCAGAAACAGATTGAAAGATCGTGAACTGGTGATAGGTACTAATCGCTTTAAAATGATAGTAAATGCATTAGCTAGCTTTTGGACGCCTTGAAAAGGGATGAAAACGAATGTCATCTTCTAGTAGTAGCTCTAAGCCCTCATTGTGGTCAGTTTGTCTTCGAGGCTGGTATCGAAAGCGTCAATTTCACTCCCTAAAATTAAAACAATGTTAAACAAAGTGACAAAACAAAACATTGCGCCATAAGACATAAATATGGTTGCAAATAATTAAGTAATCAAATAAGTAGCATCCTGAAATGATTAGTTATTTAAGAGTAGTGGTAGAAATTGAGTTTAAAAGGGACAAACATTATGAGTACATACGCTACTATTGCTAAGAATACATAAAATAGAAGTGTAGAGGAAGCAAAATCACTTAGTCTTAGCTATTAGGAATAGCGTACTTTAAAGCCATGTCTAGTCGACTTTAGCACAAGACTCAGGCCTGTAAGAAGACCGATCACGATAAAAAGCTGAAGTGATGCACACAAACGAATACATACTTATGTGAGTACTGCAAGATGAAGTAAGGTTTGCAAATATAAGGGGAGGTTTTGTGTCTAATGCCTTTAGGTGTGATATTTTTGCACCCCTATTAATTTCAAGTTGAAAATTCGGAAAAATTTTAGCTAGTATAATTGATGCTTGTAGGCTTCTCATGCGACTGTAGGCTATAGACAAATGAAGAAGGGTGCTGTAACGCTACAACATTTGGGAATTTTGCCAACGTACAGCGGTCCAGCTTAATTTGGGAGTTAGTTGCAATGGAGACTATTTGGATACTCACAATACTTCCATCAACTATGGATTTTCGAAGCCTGAATGCGTAAAACAGGGGCCGATAGAGGGAAAGTTAAAAAGGAGAGAATAAGGCGCCAATGTAGGAGTACCAAGTAGAATTTCATGCAACCTAGTACAGGTTGGGATAGCTTGAGCGCTCATCTAACACTGAAAACTTCATAAAATATCGACGCATTTAAGTTTCCATTTTATTGAAGGGATCTTTTCAATGGCCTGAATTTAATTTGCGCACCGGTGGCACGGAGTTCTGCCCGCACCAAATTTGTGCGGGTTGAAGCATAAACTATCTCCAAAATTGTAGGTTTTAGAAAGGCTATATGGGCGATTTGCTAGCATTAGCACTACTTTCGGACCTTAAAAATCATATACCTCTTGAAACACGAAGTTTGTTATTATTGGACGATTTATCTTTGATAACGAGAATTTTGCGCTTACTAGCATCAGCAGTATGCGGAACGAAATCCTTCGTTCGAACATTAAAAAAAAATTATCATCCGTTTCTTCATTCACACTATGAGGAACCAGAAGTAGTTGTAATGTCCTTCTCTTCTCGATTTATAAGGTGCGGTCCTCTAAATCGTGACCTACAATCGAGGTGCCTAAAAACGCTCGTCGCTGGCTGATGGTTTGATGCAACGGGATTAAACTCAAGTTGGAACTTGAAGTTGGACTTTTGAACTGTGCACTCCCCACAGCAGCCGGGACATAATTTTGGAAACACACGTTTACGCGACTACCACTCCTTGAGGTGCCAAGGCTTAATTCTACATCCATTCCAACGGTATTGAGGCTTTACCGTTACTGCACTTTCAGCTCACCGTTTCCTCCAGCTCAAAACTATCCTTATTTATTCATTATGCAGTTTGGTTGGGAGCTCTTTAAAAAAAACCATAAACTTTTAAACTCCCTCACTGCTGTGTCAGAAATTCGTGGAAAAAGGTTGATTTAGACAACGTCTTTACCGCAAGCATATGTACAAATGAGTTATACGACACGCATTCTATCTTGCTAAGTGCTCATGGAAGCTAGTATTGAAGCCAAGGTTCTGCTACTCCTATTTTACCATCTCACTGATGACTACCTCCTTAATGGCCACAAACATCGTCCATTCCAAGGTCAAGTGTATATTGGGGAAAGATCTGAGCCATGAAAAGGGGATAGGTTTAGGTAAAAATGGTTTTTTGTATGCCATCTGTGCCCCATGCAGCCGCCCGGCCTGCAGAAGTAGAAGACCGTTGCGGTATTATTGAAAGATCAGCTATCGGCTACTGCCTAAAAAGGCAATCTCTTCTGCTGAAGGATCACATTTTCCAATGCCATGATCCACAGGGTGAAAATATCCCACACAAAGGAAGCCTCACGCTTCAGATTGCAATGCATCACAAGGAACGTATTGAACGCATTTGTATGATCGGCAGCACCAAAACAAAAATACACACAGACTACAATGCTTTCAAGCCATTATGACAGAACCTGAATTTTCCAGATTTCATACACACTTTTAGTTGGGTGTGATCCACGTGGAGACTGGCGAACTCACCAGCACAGAAGTTGTAGACCACTAAATGTGTGACACTTTACTGCCACCATGCTGATGGCCTCCGCACTTGAAGTTGAAAGCAGTTTAGCAGGCGTTAAGGTCTCGATGTGTCAGATAAAATAGACACACAGTACTTCCATCCCTTCCAAATTATCAAGTCGCATGACGGGTGGATGTGAATGTAAAGGTAGACTGAGGAATGGGCTGCACTCAAAACGAGTACACTACAATCTTTTTTGATATCACAATGTATATTAATGTGGAGGGCTTTATGACTACCTTCAGCACTCTCACAATAAGTAGATTTGTAGGTTAAAGAGATCTCTCACCTCTTCCCCCTGACACGGTGACGAGGCTGTGACTGCTAAACGCGTGAACTGTCATCGTCACACCAGCATCATCATCATCGTCACCACCACCACCACCACCACCACCACC